CAAATGATAAATTGTGCACTGCTGCGACTGCTAGTTCACTGATAAGTGGCTGCTGCTGCTGCTGCTGCTGCTGCTGCTGCTGCTGCATCAACAAATACAACACTACTGTTCCTGCTACTGGTGGTCCTTCTCAAAAGCAATGCATGCGCCGACAAATGATGTCGCTTATCAAATTCACTCACTAGTCTATTAAATCCAATCTTTTGGTGGTCCTAGTGTTTAAATTGTGAATAATCCTTTCTTTCAGCTATCATCTAAAAGAATGTTATGACGATAGTTTGTAACAAACTGTTCATAAAATGCGACTATAATAAAGTAGTATTCCATGTCAGTAGTCTTCGATACTTCTTATTAGACAAGAATGCTTATTTTCTGATAGCAGCCAGCCATTTTTGATCATTTCAAAGTTCGTTCGTTCGATTGACTGCTTGCTTGCTTCTGAACTAATGACGCTTTTGAAAGGATAACTTGGAGAAGGAGGAAGGGGGGGGGGGGGTACCTCGCCTTAAGCAACAAACTATCAACACCCAACAATGTCAAAGTGTTAAAGCTAAAAAATGCTCAACAAAAATTAGCCTCGTTGATGTGTTATGATCATATTAGCTGACAGACGACAACAGACTCATCCATTTCAATGGCTTGCTTCTGTTTCATTTCTAATGCTTTCCCATTCTTGCTGCTGGCATGTACATGTACACAAATCAATGATACGTTTCGTTCTAATAAAAACATTGAAACATTAATCAAAGTATTCGACTGCACTGATATGCAGCATCACATTATTTGTTTATTGAGAACGTTACGTTCTGAATCGAAACAAAACACTGCTACTGCAATCGATCGATGTGCGGTTGTGCTGATATTTTAGGAGAAGAAACATCATCAGACGGAGCAATTCTTTAAACTTTAACGGTAGTAGTAGGAGGATAATGTGAAGAAATTCGTTACTGAACCAATGAATGAATCGGTGTGAACAAGAAGAGGAAGAAGCAATGCAAAATCTTCACTTAATTCGGTTTAATCAATCAATTTCGAATGGTCAGTTGGTCGAGTGGTCACTTGGCAATCCTAGTTATTTGCGCATGGCGTCAAAACCGCTGATTTAATTGAGATTGGATTGGCTGGAAAAGTATTATACGATTCAGAAAAACTTTGCTTTCTATTCCTTTTTTTTAAATCAGTGACGAGTGAGTAAATAAATGAGTTGAAAAAAAGGTATGCAAAACAATTAGTGAAGAACATTTGAATATGAGCAATAATGAAAAGAATAACGAACGATGTCATATATGAAATGGGGAACGCTCATCAATCGGTTGGTTGGATAATGCCCGATCTATTCAAGTATGTATGTAGGCTAAAATGATTGTTGAGAAATAAAAGCAACCAACGAAAGGAAGTTCGATAAGCGCACAAAAGAAAGAAAAGAAAGTTAAAGCTGATTGCTTGGCCTAACTGTTGCTTAAGCCTGCTTGGTTGACTATTGTTGCTGTTGCTGTTAGTGCTTCACAGACTTGTAAAGAAGAAATCAAAGAATAACGGATGGACGCAACGAGCGAACAACTGAAACAAGGAAACAAACGCAAAAAAAAGAATTAGAACTAAAACAACTAGATTAACTGCCGAGGAGGTTGGCCTAGCTAGACCAGCCATCCAACTAAGCAACCAGCCACACCATTCAAGTAAGCAACCAACCCTAGCGTAAGCTCTGCTGGCTGCTGACTGGCCAAAGCCAAAATATACTATGTGCTAACAACGAACCAACCAACTAGCCTTAAAGCTGAAATGAACAACAAAATATCAAAGCACTACTAGCGAATGAGAAAAAGTCAAAAAGCTCTCGTTGAGCAGCAGTGATAATGATGATGCTCCTCACTTAAACCTAAACCCAAACCGAAACATCAGGTAACAAATGCTACTGATGCCAATGCTGCTACTATTTGATGAATTAATGAGCAATTAATGAGCAAGCACAACAAAAACTCGTCGTCTGCTCTTTGTTAGTCGCTCTCCAGCTCTTCATCCGTCTACTCTACTATCAGCTCAGCTACTAATCATCCATACTATAACGGCATTTACATAGATAATAATATTAACAATAGATCGATTATTCATTCTGAACAATGGTTGATAACGGCGATGTGATGGGAATGTCGTTGTGGGAATTAATCCTATGTGAAGACGACATTCATGAGGGGATCAGAGCCTCGGAGAACAGAAAAGACCACTCAAAAGACCTCCAAGAAAATACAAGGGCGTACGAAAAAGACGTTTGGAAGAAGCTGGTAAAAGAAACCGAGGTCAAGGACTAAGTGGAAATGCATTGCAATATGCAGCAACGCTATAAACGTTTCATAGCTTGAGCAATCCAGGTAATCCGGCTAATACGGATGTATATATGCGGATATCTTCTAAGTCATCCATATTTGCTCCTTCTTCTTCTGCTGCTGCTGTTGCAGCCTCCCAATAGATTTGATCTATAATTGTGTGGAGAAGAGATAATGAACGATGAACAGTGGGTTGGTTCAAAATGATCATCTAATCTAATCTCAACTTGTCTCATCTCGTGCTCTTGTCTCATTTGCTCCTCCCGAGGTCACTCACTTGTCAGACGTCACTCAAAGCAAGCAGCAGGCAGTAGTAGTAGCAGCAGCGACCCAAACATTATCAAGCGATATGCGCTGTTTGATTATAATCAAGTGTGCTGCTACTGCTGCTGCTGCTGCTGCTTGAGTAGTTGCTCTGATCTGTGATCGTCGCAATATGCGCAACACTATATATCTATCAATCGATAGAACCGTTCCTCATCAAAGAAACACCAAACGATTTGATGACGATGATAGCGATGAATGCAAAACGTTCATTCATTAATAATTTTACCGTCCGCTTTCATTTAGCTTCAATTAATTACCCATTTAAGTAAGTACTTCATGCCATGCCGTATTTCTCCTTTCCTATCCCCCTCTCTAAATTTGATCTTTTATAATCTTGTGGTGGTGGTACTAGCTACTGGATGGGTTTGATACACGAACGGCGCATAATATACAGATAGTACATACAAACGTACGAACGCTTCATAGAAAATTTATGAGCTGTCAAAAATCAAATAATCATTTTGTCCACGTTAAAATATTATAGAGGCTATTTATCATCAAACAAACACAGAAGGAAGACGAGAGGGACATAGAGAAGCACGATGTGAACGGATATGATAGAGTATCGGATAGATAAATGAAAAATTGAACGAATTAAGAGAGAGGCAGGGAATGAGAAATAAAGATGAGTTAAAGAAATACGGAAATAAAGAACATTTTAAAGATAGATGGATGAGGAGATGCAACATTAGAGCACAACAGTCAGTATCATACACTGCTTGGGCCATATAAATAATGTGTTTAAATTTATAGCTGTTACACGAACACGAACACATAGCAACACAATTAAATAGCAATTCAACTAAGAAATAACTCACCATCTAATAACCATTAAATTTAACGATATTTCATCGCTAAATGCCTCTCTTAAATCATTTTTATTATCTATCTTATGTAGTTTTAATAAGTGATGATGAATCTATTCTTCCAATATCATTTATACGAACTATGCAACTAAGCGAA